ATGTGATGCTTGTGAGCTTTTATAAGTTTCCTGTGGCACAATCCTAGCAGGACTGTTATTTCTCCATGCAGAGTCCTCCTAGGATCCATACTCCTAAAGGATAATGCTTATCCTTTTACACCCCCCACTGCTTAAACCGAGTGGGATGGTTTTAACTACGGCCGAACTGCCATACGACCGAGATAAACCTGGCTATACTGAGTCACAGAGTAGGCCGTACTAACAGTAGTTCGGTTCTTCCTCTTGCTGCACCATATCTCGATTCTCCCATACACGAACCATGGTGTGTTTGGACCGATCTACTGAATAGCAACATCCCAACCGACCTACCCAGAATACATCATGACCGGACTATTTCTGAGACCGGCCTAACTCCAAGTTGCACGGACCGAAGTAACTCAACATCTCTTCTGGGCCGGAGTAACTTTATCACTCTTGAACCAGAGTAACTTTATCTCTCCTGGGCCGGAGTAACTTTTCGGCCTTTTTTACACAATCCTTCGTACTTTGGGCCACAAAGTCGATCTCACAGCTCGGCCCAATTTTCACCAAAAATTACGCTCTCAAAAATCCTTTAAGCACCTCAAAACCATACCTCCCACTCTCTTCTGTGAACACAAAAAATCTCCTTTTTTCCAATGAATCTTCTACTTATCCTCCCTTTGACCCCACCAATATCTACTAACAATGGCATCAATTTCCGAACACAAACTATCCAATAATTGAAAGCAGCTCCTAAGGTAAGTCGGAATTGTTAAAGCATAGAGTAATTGTGAAATTTCAATTAAAATTACTCCTTTTGTCACCAAATTATACAATTTGTGTAATTTGAACTCTAAAATTTAAATTGTGTTAATTTAATTTTAGACATGAAAAATGTTGGGTAAATTGCGGTAAACCCTCTAAATTATGATTTATTTACAATTTGTTCTCCTAAATTATAAAATTCAACAGTTAACAATCTCAAAGTATTTTATTGTTACAATTAACTCTTTTTGTTATGATTCTGTTATGAATTTACACAAAAATAGATCATTTATAAAACACATGACACATTTTATTAAAATTTTAAAGCAATAACGCCCATATTTGATAAATCAGTTTACATTTTGTTACTAAAATAAGAGAGAAATTGCAAATGAGATCACCAGGAAAAAGGTATTATTTAAAAAAATTAATAACGCGTATTATTTTCTTAAATAAATCAATCAGTGTGTCATATGTTTCATACATTATCTAATATTTTGATTTGATTCTCAATCTAGTTTGTATCCTTATCTTGTCGAGTAAAGTTAGAAAATCAGAAAAGCCACTCCCAATTTTGATAACTACAAAGAGAAATGTGATTTTCGCAATACCAAATAAAAAATCCTATAATTTTTACATAATTGTATTGATCTACCTTTCAATAAAATTAAATGGACCGAAACTAATGTATGTAGTGCAAAAATACAAAAATAAACAATGTAATAAAATATACATTTTTCTATAAAAAAAAATGACAATATCATTTTTTTAATCTAGATATACTAACAAAATTTGAAAGGAATACAATATAATTATGTTAAAATTATAAAACTTACTATATTTGCTTCAAATTTCAAGAAAAGTTAGTTTAATTTACCCGAATATAAATTGTTACTCAAAGCATACTTTCCTCGTGGCTAATTTTTTTGTTGATCGTTTTTCTCACAAGAGACGTTGTCTTTTAATTTAGAATTTTTCACTTTTTACTAATACATGTTTATAATTTGACGTAGACAATTTTTTTGTTGATGTTTTTATCATAAAAAAAATTGTCTTTTAATTTAGAATTTTTTTTCACTTTTTACTAATATATGTTTATAATTTCATTCTTGGTTCAAACAACGAGACAAAATCAAATAAAAGATCAAATTGAAACACTTTTTGTACAATAAAAACTAAATTGATATGATCTAAACATTAAAATTGAAAATAACACAAATCTCCTAGTCTGGGGATTACAAAAGTAGTTTTTTAATTAAATTTCATATTTACCCCTAATTTTAAAAGCATCTACAAATAGAGTTAGGTTAGGAAATAAAATGAAAACATTTTTTATACATTAAAAACTAAATTAACAGAGTTTAAATATTAAAAACCAATATAACACAAACCCAATAGGGACAAAAAAAAAGTAACTAACCCCACGCAAAGCATTATTAGTCATACCTTCTTTCAAGTAAAAAATAACTTATAGAAAAGTGAAACTAAAAGCACCTATTTCCAACTTTCAAATAATCAAAATTTTAAGAAAAAATTTCACCAATCATTCTGACACAAACTCTCACTCAACTTAAAAATAAAAAATCCCTATAAACGGGCACCAAACAGAGCCATGGCTTATCGTACTCCGCGTCTTCTTTCCTTTCATAAATTTCTCTATAAATCCAATATCTAAACACAACCTAAAACTCTCGTGTTTGGATCATAGATTTGAGTCAAAATTAAGAAAGGGAAAGGAAAAAGGCAATAGATATAATTATATTTCACTTACCTTTCTCCTTTTCCTTTTCAAAACACTATCCAAATCTATGATCCAAACATAATCCTAATGATTTAACATTCACCAATTCTGGGGAAATGTATTGAAGTAGAAAATGCAGAAAGCATTGCTCCCTCCTCTACCTGTTTTATGTTGGATGCATGTAAATCACCTTACCAACCTACCTAAAAATGCAACTGAAAATTCGAAGCGTTGAACTTAAGATTACATACTCAACCTTTACAGTTAATTCTTTCCCAACAACCAAGTGCAACTGAAAATTCTAAGCCTTGAATCCAACAACCAAATGCCAGGTAAATTAAATCAAATTTCTTCGACAGGTGGATAAATGAAGTCCAAGAGGCCCTGCCTTGAAGACGTTTGATCAGGTAAAATTCCAAGCTACACTAGAGAACCTCCATTATCAGTCTCTCCACAAGAGTTTTGGGGAGTCCCATCACGCTATCAATTGTTCCTACCTGCAAAAAACACCACCAATTGATGTCAATGCCTCATCAAGTGAGAGAGAGGAGACATAGTTTCATAACTAACAAGTAACCAAACTATAGGCTGACTCTAAATTCACTTGAGTAAACACACGTTGATGGTCAACCCTCGGACATGTTAGTTCAGCCCTTGACAGCCAAGGCATCAAGGCTTCTAGGTAACCCCATGGTCCATTGCAATGCAGCGAATAATATAAGCAGTTTTGTGATTAGAAAGCAAATAATATCAGCGGTTTTGTGATTAGAATTCATTGGACAACTATGATGCACAGGTACTGGTACGGTTATGAGTACTGGTATTGGTACAATACGGATACGTCAATACAGTAAAATTAAAAAAAAAAAGGATATGGATACGGGTACAGCTTGGTACGCTTGTAAAAAAATATTTATTTTTAATTTAGAGTAATGCAAAAATTAATTAAATGGTTTAATTTGTTAAGGTAGCCGACCCCATTTGATGGGATTTAAGATTTTGTTTGGTTTGGTTTAATTTGCTAAGGTCTAACCTACAATTAACATTTAATGTCAAAAGTAAAGGTATAAATCAAAATTAAATATCAACATATTAAATAACTTACAAATCATAGTTTAATTTTAAAATCATACTAAGCATAAAACAAAAAAATAAAAAAGAAATCTAGTGAAAGAAGTTTTATCTTTTTAGTAGAAGAAAATATTGTTTCAACTGAAGTACGGTACGACTTAGGTATATACTCGGTACGTCTAGGTACGCCAAAAAATTAAGAAAAAATTTGAATACATGTTTCGAGTACCCGGTACGTATGCAAAAGTACCATACGACGTACCATATGCCAGTAAGTACCCGGTACGGATACGGCATGCTTTTCAAAGTACCCATGCTTCATAGTTGGACAACCATACTACGGCAATTAGGAGACTTATGCATAGGTTCCCCAGAATTCCGGGGACGGGCTGAACAAGGGTTGATCTGCTAAAATTTGGCCCAACACCTGCTCAATTGTTGTTTGGTGTTTCTAGCTAAGGGTGTGTCACTGTTTGAGGACAAGCCTTGCCGTCTTAGTGGGACAGAGAGTGTGAGCATTTTTGGAGTGCAGATACATCCACCTTTTTAACTACGGCAAAAACTATCATTTCATCAAACTATTTTGTGACTGTTATAATGTTGCCCATGAAGGAGGGAAATAACCCAAAATAAAAAAGAAGGAAAAATCTACTCCAAAAGTCTCGTTTGTTGCAACAAATCTGATTGATAACGAGTCAATTCATACCCTATGACGTACAGATATGGATATGGCAAAATGACAAAATCTAGAATATAGGATACAGATGCAACCATGATGCATTGAAAAAAATATGTTATTTTTGGTATTGTATTATGCATGAGCCCAATTAGGCACTTACACTCTAAGAGCTAAGTCAGTTTACTTCTGTTTTTCTTTTTCTTTTTCCTACGTGGTTCCTATGAACATCTCATTCAAATATCAAGTCTAAACCATTTATAATGCCATTGTTATTTTTTCCTTTCACACTTAAAAAGTGTTATATGCAAAAAAATTGTTAAAATTTGATTTTAGTAATCATATATATTTTTATTTATCCTTACTTTCTACAAAATATAAACATGAATACCGGACATATATTAATTCAATAAATTCTGAAAAAAGTAAGATACTACTTTAATCTCACTATTTTCTTCTTCAGTAAGAAATAAGAAAAGAAATGAAAAACTATTGAGGAAATATCATTTTCCCCCCCAAACTATCATGCGTTTTTCACATTGACCCCCATACTTCGATTTATTTCAATTTAGTACCTGAACTTTTCACAAATTGATCAATTAGACCCCTGCCGTCACCTTCCGTCCACAATTAGACAGAATGTGCTGACGTGGGCGGTAAATTGATTTTTAAAGTATAGTTTGGGGGGGGGCAAATTGATTTTTCATTTGGGAGATAAATTGATTTTTAAGGTATAGTTTGGGGGCTAAAATGAAATTTTAAATGAACTTTGGTGCCACATCAGCACATTCCGTCCAATTGTAGACGGAATGTGACGGCAGGGGCCAAATTGATCAAAAATTTGAAAGTTTGGGTGTAAAATTGATATTAATTGAAGTTTGGGGGTCAACGTGAAAAACGCGTGATAGTTTGGGGGGCAAAATGATATTTTCTCAAAACTATTTGTATTTATTCTAACAATTATACTTTAATACTAGGCAAAATACATTATCAATTTCATAATAGTTCGGGTACGTGACCTAGATTGTCTGAAAAGTATCGGATGCTTCTCAAAATTAATATCAAATATCAGATACGTTTAAAAAGTATCGGATATGTATCCTCGAGTATCAAATCAAAATCAGAATCCGATAATGGTATGATACGGATGCGACTTCCTTTTAGAAGTATCCGTGCTTCATAGATTCATACATATGGCTTGAGTTTGGATTTGGGCAATTTACCCAATCAAAATCAAACCCACCATCTTCAGAATCCAAAGTGGATAGCCCTTTTGTCCCTGTCATTCACAGTTTTCAATCATATTTGCGTGTCCACATGTTATGCATATGATATGACAATTATTTATTTACAGTACCATTAAAATTAAAAGAAAAGGCAGAGATCATGAACCATACCACTTCTTTAATGTAGGGTAGTATCAAAGGGTGTTCAATTAACAACCCCCCAGCGACATTGAGAACAATTCCCTCCTCTATCTGGATTTGGGGAAAGCAAGAAAACAATCGTTAACATGTCAATTTATCGAACAATACAAGAACCACATATTACAAATAAAAGATCCTGTACCAGGTTATCAATGACTTGATCCGGTATTGAATGGAAATGGATCTGCAAGTCACCAGAAATATTTTTTCAACATATCATAAATAAATTGTTCATCAGAAAAATGAACTAAAGTATTCATAGTGCAAATGGAACATCAATTAAAAAACACAGTAACAGAAAACAGTATCCCTTTTCATGTAAATTAAAGGACATATATTGCAGTTGATATATTTTTTTGCACAGAAAATCATTGCACGCCATGCTTATAGGGTGAAATCAAGTTTGTAAACTCGTTCCGTACTGGCATGTGCCGGCCGGAATGCTCTGCATTAGCAAGAAACCAGTATACTACCCACTCAGTTTCGTGCCGGCTAATTTTCCAGCCTATCTCGGAGATACTGGGTAATTCGCCATTTTCCGGCCATATCAGCCATTCCAGATTTGTACCATTCGCAAATGAAAAGAAACAGAAGTGGGTATTTCAGAGATTCAAGGGTAGGTGAAGGCGGATTCACAGTCACAATGGTAAAAGGCATGTGCAATTACTCGATCTCTCTATTTCCAACAACCCCACATATCTCCTCCACTATTCATCCATCTCCATCTCCAGACTGTTGGCCAGAGCAAGAAAGTAATGTGATGCTAATAGAGGCTTTCACCACAGGTAATAGAGAAAGAGAAGACTTGCAGCATTTGAAATATGTTTTTCATTTCTACCGAATAGAGAGTAGATTTCAACTTTCAAAATATGGACCTGTCATTTCTATTGCTATGGTGAAAGATTTCATATAACCAATGCAGCCACCACATAGAGAGTAGATTTCAATTTTCGGAATATGGACCTGTCATTTCTACTGCTATGGTGAAAGATTTGATATAACCAATGCAGCCATTCAATTATAGTCAATGCAGCAAAGTTAGAAACCCTATAAAAAAAATGTAATATTTTATTCATTCTATTCATAAAATGAAAAGAATGGTGTATTAAATTAAGTAATGTCAAATTCTATTAATTAAATTTTATAAATAGATATATATATATTATAAATATATAATATATAGCAATAAATCCAAAAACAGTATCCAAAAATGTCCTGGTACTAGTATGTACCGTACCAATAATAAAAAATGATACCACAGCCGGTACAGTATTCAGAACATTGGGTTAAATCAGTTATAATTTCAAAGTTTTCTACTATTCCAAGTGCTAATAGTAATGGCATTAAATTCTGATTATTTACAGCCAGGAAAAAGTGAGGGTTATTGATAGTTGAGCTTCTCTCTAAAAATTTACCGGGCTTTATCAAACTTCACACAATGTATTTATGCTATAGTTTCTTTCAATCAACATCACAGGTAAATAATATATCTCTACATTACCAACACAGACTTTCTTAATCCCAATGATTGAAGATTTTTTAGTAACCACAAAGGGGTCCAAAACTGTAAGCTTGCACGATTGCAACTCCCATAAAGAATTTGCTCCCTTACGTAGCTGTTTAACGTTGGGTGAGAAAAGAATAACTTCTTCAACCTTAGAACTTCAATGAACAAACTATGCATTAGCAGTTAAGTTATTTGATACAACGTAACACCGGTATATATGACCCTAGTATAAGATATTTCGACATGTATCGGTGAACAAATAATTGCTGTCACAGTTGTTTCTATTTCTGTTTTTAGTTTTGTCCAGGCATTTGTGTGACATAATTTGACCTATTAAGTGGTCTAAACTCTCTCGTATAATAAAAGTAACTTGTACCCACAAAACAAGAATTACAACAATATTAACTAATAAGGACTTCAGCACCAGTAATAAGGCAATGAGAAGAAGTAAATCATACCTCCACTTTGTCCCAGTCTCCTTTTCTCAATCCAGTTTTGAGATTTGTAACAAGAACAGAACTCACTGTCGCTGTATTCCCACCAGAATAACCTACAATGTGCATTGGTAAGACCACCAGAACTACAAGAGCAGGAAATTGTGATAGACGCATGAAGCAAACCTTTGATGAATTGGCGTGCTTCTTCTTTGCTTAATGGTTTTTCCCTGATCATACCTTCACAGACGACCACCTCCAAATCATTTGAAGTTAGCAGTAAGAAATAACAAAATCAAATTATATTTCTTGACAAACGGAAAAAGGGGAACATCCGTGACTATATTTTCAGGCATGTCCCATTACCATAAGGCCATTTATGTATAAGGTGGTTACAAAGTACACATGCACCTCAGATGTGTGGTATGTAAGACACAACTGCATGGCAGATCTGTGTTCCTTACTTAAGGTAATCACCACATATAATTCATCTAGGATCCACAGGCAGGGGGGGTAAATACATACATGTCATATACATGTGTGTGTTTATTGTTTTATAATGAACAAGACCAAATTTGCTTTACCAAACTGGACTTTGGTATATCTTGCCTTCTACAATATGCTCCAATTCTAATTCTTCCCTACGATTAACTGCTCCTTAAAATTCTACTTATACTCAAAACATTTGCCTCTTTATCAACCAATAATGGTCCAATCATAGAAAACCAACATTTTTAAGCCATTTACAAATTCCCATCAATTATTGGTAAGAGGAAGAAAATATTATCTGCATGCACCGCGTGTGCCACCACTTCTATAACATATATAAACCTACTAGAGTTGTCTAAAAAATACAACCCACATTAAAATACAGGACAATCTTTCCTACATAAATATTTTTTTAAGAGGAAAAAAACTACTTAGTTTAGGGGATATTTTTATCTTTCCACATTTTTAGGCCAAATTAATAGACAGTATCAACATAAAGCTGCCAATGCACATGTAAGTCAAACTGTGGAAAGAAATATGATGCATCCATGCCATAATTTAACAGAAATGAAAACAAGGCAAACAAAACTCATATTTGTCAATAGAAAGGTACCATTTGGTTTAGTTTTTAAATTAACATTTGGATAAAAAAACACGAAAAACATGTTTGATTTACCAATTTTCAAAACTCCTTTCAAAATTGTTTTTTTCTCTCTCTCTCCTCTCTCCCTTTTTTTTATATTAATAAATCAATCAATCACTTTTTTCTCTCTCCCCTCTCCTCTCTCCTTCTCTCACATTCTACACATCAATCAATCAAATTTTCTCTCATACCCATCTATTCAACTAAAAAAAATAAAATAAAAACTACAAATCATCCAAAAATTATTTTCAAAACTCATAACCAAACAAATTTTCAAAATTCTTTTCAACAACTTATCTTTCAAAATACAACTCAAAACTCAAAACTCTTTTCAAAAACTAAACTAAACGGAGCCAAAATTTGTATTACAATATGAGGGGGAAAAATCCCTTACCCTTTTTTTGCATTCCCCAATATTCCAACTTTCGATTAGAGATTCCCCTTGTAAGAGTGAAACATTAGTCGATTAATTCTTCTCAATTCCTTTTTTCTTTTTTCTTTTTTCGACAAATAATTGAAAAATCCCTCATTCCCAATCCTCAGACCTCATGTGCCACTCGATATAATTTTCAACTTCTAGCCTCGTTCAAGCAACCAAGAGGTCATAGCTAGTATAAACTTATGCCAAATAGAGAAGCTTCAATCTATTCGAGAATTTTACATAACTATGCAGTTAAATGCCCACCTCAAGCTTACATATGTGAGCAACTACTGGAAAAAAAGCTACCACTCACCATACATACTCATATACAATAAGCGTGGTTTCTTTAAGGCTTGTGAAAAGGTAATTGTCACTTTTTTGGTTGGTTGTGCAGCACAGAATATGTCATGAACTTTTTTCACAAAATTGAAAATGCTAAGTAATTGATTTATACTTGGTCACAAGTAATTAAGACTGATGGTTCAGCATCCCTCTTGTAATTGCCAATGGGAAGCTTTGGTGTGATGGCCTCTGCCTGATAAAATTTCCAAAACTTAAGGTGAGTGCCTACTAAGAATATTACTACAGAACTATGTAAAGCAACTCAAGAAGCAAAAAGAAACACAAATGGAGGCACACGCATCAAAAAATAATTTATGCATGTCAAAATTGAACAGCATGGCATCATATTATCACAATCAGCAAGTCAGTATCCTCTCCAATAACTGCATAACAAATTGAGATAAAATCATGGCTTTGAGTAGAGAATACCAACCAAAAATTAATTGGATGGAAAAAAATAAGATAACATAGGGACATGGAGCAGTATAATCTTTTAATTCTGTACGAAATTGCTAGTGAATACATTGCAACAAGCATTGACATTTCCAGAGTAATTGAATGAATTGGAAAGACAACTGCCAGCAGCACAATTTTATTTATTCCAAAAGAGATCATGATGCTACCATAATTCACTCCATAAACCAGCATAAGATCCAGTATAATGGTGTACATATAGTGCTAAGAATGCACATGTGCATCAAATTTTATGTAGATTCCAATATTTACCCAAGATCAATGTTTTAGAAAAGGGAAAAAAAGTGTGGTAGGAAAATACTAAAATACCAATGCAGTTTAATAAATAAACCGGTCCCTCAGCATACTTTACTAACTACAACAGACAATGTTGCATTTTTATCTACATAAAATACCAGACAATGTTTAATAAATACCAGACAATATTGCATTTTAGCTACGATCAATTAAAGCGCCATAAATAAATTGCTCTTGTTTCATTCTTTAGAGACCAAACAACAACAAAAATCTATGTTTCTTGTACTGCTTTAAAAAAAAAAAAAAAAGATTTACAATGATTGCCTCATAATGTAACGTATCTTCAGCGCATATAGATGATGCCCAACTTCATCCACCCAATTGTTAGAAGAATTTTGTAAAAGAATGTCTTACCTCATTCACGGGTTTGCCTTGTATATATATATATACCAAAGTGATACACAAAAAATAGGAAATAAAAGAGAGAAGGGAAATACAAAAGAAGAAAAAGATCAAATCAAATCAAGTCAACCGTAACATCCCGTGATCTGTAAATCATGAGAATTACATGATTCTAATTTCAACACCCCCCCTCAAGCTGATTCGAAGATATTAACCAAATCCAGTTTGACAATAGAGGACTAAAGTAAAGTTGGTCCCACTAATTTGTTGAAGATATCTGTTGTTTATTCTGATGATGGAACAAAAGAAGGAACCATCAAACCAAACTTTGTCCCAAATAAAGTGGGTGCCCACTTCAATATGCTTAGACCCTATGTATCACGGACACGGACACGGACACAGACACGGGACACGACACGGACACGTAAATACGCAAATTTTAAAAAAATAGGGCACACGACACGCTGGGGACACGTTTAATATATATAATTTTTTATATATATTATATGTAAAATTAAAAAATATATACCATTTTTATTTATTTTTATTTATTTATTATATGTAAAATTAAAAAATATATACTATTTTTATTCATTTATTTTATTTATTATATGTAAAATTAAAAAATAAATATATCATTTGTATTTATTTATATTATTTATTTACAAAAAAAGGTATAAAAAAGAAAAAAAAAGAATAAAAAGATCAGGGAGGGAGTGACATGGTAATAAAGGAAGAGGAAAGACAAAGTGAAGAGTCAAACACGATGGGAGACGAACAGAGACGAGAACAAGCGAGAGGCGAGAACAGAGAGAGAGGAGATGAAGACGATGAGAGACGAACAGAGAGAGAGAGAGGAGACGAACACAGAGAGAGAGGAGACGAACACAAACGCGAAGAAATACCTCGATCAGAGACGAAGAGGATTCAATCTAGCCTCGATCTAGGCTTCAACAGGTTCTTTCTCTTTCTCTCTCTCTCTCTCTCTCTCTCTCTCTCTCTCTCTCCATCTTCAATGGTTAAGGTGAAAGTAAAGATAAAATGTGGTAGTAGGTGTAGTGGGTTAGGTTTAGTGGAGTAGGTTTAAGTGGGTGAAGTAGGTGATAAATTTTAACATACTAAGAATATTACTACAGAGCTATGTAAAGCAACTCAAGAAGCAAAAAGAAACACAAATGGAGGCACGCGCATCAAAAAATAATTTATGCATGTCACAATTGAACAGCATGGCATCATATTATCACAATCAGCAAGTCAGTATCCTCTCCAATAACTGCATAATATATTCCAAATTGAGATAAAATCACGGCTTTGAGTAGAGAATACCAACCAAAAATTAATTGGATGGAAAAAAATAAGATAACATAGGGACATGGAGCAGTATAATCTTTTAATTCTGTACGAAATTGCTAGTGAATACATTGCAACAAGCATTGACATTTCCAGAGTAATTGAATGAATTGGAAAGACAACTGCCAGCAGCACAATTTTATTTATTCCAAAAGAGATCATGATGCTACCATAATTCACTCCATAAACCAGCATAAGATCCAGTATAATGGTGTACATATAGTGCTAAGAATGCACATGTGCATCAAATTTTATGTAGATTCCAATATTTACCCAAGATCAATGTTTTAGAAAAGGGAAAAAAAGTGTGGTAGGAAAATACTAAAATACCAATGCAGTTTAATAAATAAACCGGTCCCTCAGCATACTTTACTAACTACAACAGACAATGTTGCATTTTTATCTACATAAAATACCAGACAATGTTTAATAAATACCAGACAATATGGCATTTTAGCTACGATCAATTAAAGCACCATAAATAAATTGCTCTTGTTTCATTCTTTAGAGACCAAACAACAACAAAAATCTATGTTTCTTGTACTGCTTTAAAAAAAAAAAGATTTACAATGATTGCCTCATAATGTAACGTATCCTCAGCGCATATAGATGACCCTAGGTGATGCCCAACTTCATCCACCCAATTGTTAGAAGAATTTTGTAAAAGAATGGCTTACCTCATTCACGGGTTTGCCTTGTATATATATATATACCAAAGTGATACACAAAAAATAGGAAATAAAAGAGAAAAGGGAAATACAGAAGAAGCAAAAAATCAAGTCAAATCAAATCAAGTCAACCCTAACATCCCGTGATCTGTAAATCATGAGAATTACAATGATTCTAATTTCAACACTCCCCCTCAAGCTGATTCGAAGATATTAACCAAACCCAGTTTGACAATAGAGGATTGAAGTAAAGTTGGTCCCACTAATTTGTTGAAGATATCTGTTGTTTATTCTGATGATGGAACAAAACAAGGAACCATCAAACCAAACTTTGTCCCAAATAAAGTGGGTGTCCACTTCAATATGCTTAGACCTCTCATGGAGAACTGAGTCGGAGGAGAGCATGATCGCTGACTTATTATCACAGAACAATTGAGAAGATTCTTTCTCCACAAACCCTAACTCATTGAGAATAGACCAAAGCCACAGTATCTCACAAGGACCTTGAGCCATAGCTTTATACTCGGCTTCAACATGCTTCTTACTCTTCCAAGATAAGAGATGACAGCCATGGAAAGTGTAGAAACCAAAAGTGGAGTGTCTGTCAGTCTTGGACCCCGCATAATTAGCATCAATGAAACATGAGAGTCCAGATTGAGGACCAACTGAGAAGAAAAATCCCAATCCCAGACAAGTCTTAAAATACCATAGTACGACATCTAGATGAGCTGAGCGTGGAGCATGCATAAATTGACTCACAACACTTACTGCAAATGTCAAGTTAGGCCTGGTGTTAGTCAAGTAGATCAGTCAACCAACCAAACGCTGATACATGAATGGATTTGACAGAGGCTCACCTAGCTTAGCGCTGAGAGCTAGAGATTGGAATCCATAGGATAGAGGTTGGTTTGCATCCTAACATGCCAGTGTCTTTAAGAAGATCCAAAGTGTACTTGCATTGAGAGAGAGATATCCCATGGTGAGATATAGCAACCTCAAGAGCAAGAAAGTACTTGAGAGGTCTCAAATCCTTTATATCAGAAACCTTATGAAGATCCTACTTGATCTGGGCAATTCCTAAGGAATCATTCCCGGTAAGTATGATGGCATCCACACACCAATAGAATGATACAGTGACCATCAGAATGTCGACAAAAAAGTAGGTGTGGGTGACGCGAGTGTAGAGGTAGTTGGTCGTTGACCTCTGGGAAAATGGTGGGCACTCCAATGGCCTAAGATCACTGGAGGTGGAGAGGAGGCCAAGGAAAGCTTGAAGAGGGAGAGGTTGGCAGTTATGGACCTTGAACACTAGTGTATAGTGTGAGTATGAGTGTCTAAGTGTAACAATTGTGTGTTACAATTGTGTTGGAGTGAGTTTGCCTACTGCTTATACGATATGTTATATAGGCTCTCAGAGTATTGGAGCCCAAGCAACCTGTTGGACAGGGGGCTCATTCTTCCCAATTCTGCCATAAATGATATAAGCCCTACTGCCGCCTATGATTTGATGGCAGATGGGAGAGGAACGTATCATGTATGCATAAGGTGATGTGAGTATAAGGTCACTATTGCCTCTTCTCCAAGCTTGGTCAAAATAGAGTTGACTTAGCAAGAAGACAATCATCTTGATGATATCATGACCTCAGCCACCAGTCCAAGATCCGTTGGTGATCCCAAGCGGTGATGCATGGGTCCTACTCCTAATGCCTGGATCATTCACTTAATTATCAAAAATCATTTTTCTTAAAAGTTTTCTTTACTTTTCAAAAGCCCACACAAGAAAATACTTCTAGAAATTTTTATTTCAAAAGATGGTATAACTAAAGAAGAAAATAAAAGTACCAGGAATGGAAAGCATAAACCCACTCTCCGTGTATTGCATTCAATATGACATGTTCTTTACAAACAAAATGACCCACAAGCTTACAATAATAACGAGGGTGTTGCCCTTTACAAATAAAGGCTCGAAGCGAAACATAACAAATAGAAGCACTATGGCTCGTCATCACATTACAACAATAATGTGACAAAACAAAATGTTTGATCCTCAAGCCCTAAGACA